TGTATTTTTTAATCGGATATTTATCATTTTTAAAGGACATCTGTAGGACCTTTTAATATATCCTGGGTAAAAAATGTTTGTCAGATATATGTATTACAAATACATCTTTCCCCTGTGATCTCATATTTCCATGGGACTGTCAGTTTCCCTGGCCTCTTTAGATGGGGTGTAGCCTGGGTCTGGGCTTGTTTTCTTTGTTACTCTAGGGACTGGGATAGAATGAAAGCAGCTCAGGGCATGGTGCTTGGTGACAAAGTCTATACCCAACTACTCTCACTTCTCTTCCTCCTCAGTGGCTCCTCCCCTCAAGGACCACTCAGAAATTGTCTGGGGCTCTGAGTATTTCTGAGCGCCGTTGCTATGTCTATACTTTTCTGATATCTGAGCTGGGAGGATAAAAAGGAAGAATCCTTCAGGAGCTGGTGTGGTGGTTAGAGCATTGGCCCTGGGACTGAGGGCCCTGGGTTTGATTCATGCCTGGGTTGAAGACTCGATCCTAGGCCCTGGTCGGGGGCATGTGCGGGAGGTAACCAATCTCTCACACTGATGTTTCTCTCTCTGTCTCTCCCCCTCCCTTCACTCTTTCTAAAAATCAATGGGAAAATATCCTCTGGTGAGGATTAACAACAACAAAAGAATGTCTATAATGTATAACATACAGAGCACTGCATGGACTTTACTCCTTGGTCCCACTAAAGTGTTCTGGATTCTGTGTGCACTTTCTTCCCAAGTGAGAAAGGACTGGCTGGTGGTATAGAGACTCTCCAGCCTCACAGAACAGAGAACCCTCTACAGCTAGCTTGCCTTACAGGTGCCTAAGGATTTCCAATGGGTTCCCAGCTTCTGGACATACTTTGTTTTTATAGCCACCATGGCCTTTCTCCATCACAGAGGAGCCCGGGTTTGCATGAAGCCACCTGGTCTGCAGTTCAAATGTGAGACGATTTTAGAAAGGAAATATATAAAACAGAAGTTGGGAAAATGAGTCTGTATCTTTGTGTTATAATGCTAAATGAAGGGAACTTTATAGTGACTGTGAGACAGAAGAGTTGGAGGAGTCTCTACACCACCAGCCAGTCCTTTCTCACTTGGGAAGAAAAGTTTTCTGGAAATGGGGGAAAGGTCTGCACAGAGTCTAGTTGTGGTACAGATTTTGTTTAGCCCTCTTCCTCGTGGCATATTTTTTGTTTGTTTGTTTGTTTGTTTATATATTTCGCTTCTTGAGGACAAATATTTCAGTGGCCTATTGCTGTGTAGCAAACCACTGCAAAACTTAGTGTCTTAACACAATACAATTACTCAATCATCTGTCATGATTCTGTGGCTGATGGGGTCTCAGCTGGGCAGTTTGGCTGCTCTTTTTTGGAGTCTCTTCTATGGCTTATAGCCCGATGGGGGAGGGCTGGGACATCCAAGATGTACCATTTTCATCACAGGTCTGGTGTCTTGGTAGGGAAGCTTAGAGGCTGGTGTGATAGTTGGGGGGGGGGGGGGGAAGAGACTTATATCTGATAGATAGAGCACCTGAATTAATCTGAAAAATAATCATATTATTTTAAATCTTAGAACACAAATACTTATGTGAATAGGAGGTTAAGCTTCTTATATGTGAATAAGGGATTAAGTTTTTCTTAAGTTTCTTTTTCAAGGCCTGTGTGAAGTGATTAAGGAGGAGACTCATCTGTGAATCCAGCAAGCAGAACTGATAAGCATGGTCAGACCAACCCACCAGGAATCAAAACATCATCTCATCGCCTGATGACTAAAGATGATAGCTGATGTCTGTGGATCCCAAGGACTGCCATAGCTGCATTCCGTTCCAGCCTCACCCTAGCCCCTTCCCCTTTATAATCCTGTCCCCTGCACCTTGTGTTTCCTGACCTTCATTAATCTTCATTTTTCCTCTTGGATTTTGTCAGATATCGTACCCCTCCTTGTTCTTCTTTGCTTTCCCTTAAAAAAAAAAGTAATCCTTTAAAAAACATAACCTAGCCCTAACCGGTTTGGCTCAGTGGATAGAGCGTTGGCCTGCGGACTGAAAGGTCCCAGGTTCGATTCCGGTCAAGGGCATATACCTGGGTTGTGGGCACATCCCCAGTAGGGGTTGTGTAGGAGGCAGCTGATCAATGTTTCTCTCTCATCGATGTTTCTAACTCGCTATCTCTCTCCCTTCCTCTCTGTAAAAAATTAATAAAATGTATTAAAAAAATAAAATAAATAAAAAACATAACCTAATTCTAAGCAATGTTATTCATGGGAACACGATTAGTAGTTTGATTTCATATTCAATATTATCCCTGTGCTACATAGAAGCATCTCAGTGTCTCCAGTGGTTTGCTCTCCACCCTTTGGAAAAACTGCTCTAGCCTGACAGCTTCTTCTCCCTTCTCAGCAAACTAACCTCCTTCCTAAGAGCATGACCTAGACAGGCAAGGTATCGGGACATCCCTGCAGGATTCTTCCTCTTCCTCTCCCTCCTCTTTGGCAGGTGTCTCTCCCCTTTCCTTCCAAGTCCATTTGATTTCACAGAATTCCCTGATGTTACCTGGTGCATAACAGGAATGCTCGGGTGGACTTGCAACATATGACGAGGAACAGTTCATTTGTCCCTGTTCTGTCAATTTAATGTTTAACCACAACTTCCTCGTCTCGATGGGGTATCACATGCATGCAAGCAGAAAAGGGGAAGTGAATGAACTTCTCAGGAACAAACACAGGATCCCGTCTTTCACACAGGACCCCTGATGCCTGCAGAGACCAGGGACAGCGGGAAAGGCAGTATTTTCTCTGACAGGCAGAATACAGGCCATGCTTTCCCAGGCAGGGGGAGGCAGAACTCCCTGCTCACTAGGGAGTGCGCTCTCTGGGAGTGGAGGGACTGTCACCCAGCTCTCCTGCTGCTTCCAGCCAGGGATCACCAACCTCACTCAGCGGCCATGGCAATAGGAAGAGAGACCTCTGGGGAACTCAGGAAACCACAGTTAGGGTTAATAAAGACTCATTCAATAAGGGAACCTGGGGATTATTCAGTGCTTGGCAATGAATTTTTACACCGCTGAAGGCTTTACTCAAACAGCATCACTGCTGATTGTTGCAGCTGGAATGGTTTGAAATAACTGAGGGAAAGACCAAGTCAATATAAGTGCCAAAATATTTAAACCCAAGGAGTCACCGTGCTCTCTTAGTGAAATTATAATTATCTAGGTGCTATCAAATATATAGACAAGCTCATGTTGGTTATTAGAGCCTTTGAATTTTTGTTTGTATAAACAGATTGAATAAACATAGACTCTCTCACTGATTTAATAAAACATATTTGTGAAGATTCCATCATATGGGAAACAAGGGTATGTTACTACGGTCCTTAAAATTCTGCAGAAACTTTGAGTGTGATTTTCATACTCTATAGGGCAATTCATTCCTAGGAAGCCACAAATCACCACAATTTTAATGGAGGAAATAGTTTTAAGGTGGGCACACATCACCAAAAAAAATTTTTTTATGAGAAAGAACAGAAAAAGAAATATTCAATACACAAGTCAGTGCTTTCCAGGGACTTTCCCCTCTGTGTACTAATTAGCTATTGCTGCATAACAAATTGCCACAAATTTAGTTGCTTGAAACAGTACATTTGAGGTATCCAGTAATGACTTTGGATCTGAGGAGAGTTGTGCATGTGTGAAGAGGAAGGTGGTTCTTTCATACTATCTGTTTAGAAACCTTATGCTCTCCCTGTGTTTCTCTCTCTCTCTCTCTCTCTCTCTCTCCATATATATATATATATATATATATATATATATATATATAATAAAAGCATAATATGCTAATTAGATCAGACAGCCAAACAACCTTCTGGAAGTCCTTCTGGATGATTTTCTGGATGAAGCCATGGCTTCGAGGGCTGAGGCAAGCCGCCACGGCTGCAGGGGCTGAGCCCCTTGCATGAATTTCGTGCATCGGGCCTCTAGTGTGTATGTGTGTATGTGTGTGTGTGTGTATATATATATATATATATATTTATATATATGATTTCAGAGAGGGAGAGAGAGATAGAAACATCAATGATGAGAGAAGATCATTGATCGCCTGCCTCCTGCATGCCTTCTATTGGGGATCAAGCCCACAACCTGGGCATGTGCTCTTAACTGGAATCAAACCCAGGACCTTTCAGTCTGCAGGCCAATGTTCTATCCACTGAGCCAAACCAGCTAGGGCTCTGTGTTTCTCTTTTACTCTCACATTACTGACACACTGACAACACTCTGACATCAGATGTGTGGGTATTTTCCCCCACAACAAGCAATTCTCTGTGACACCAGCTGGGTGTCCTACAATTTACCCCAGTTCTGACACCACCTACCTAGAGACAGCATCAGATTTCACTGGGTGAGGGCTCATTTCCAGTAGGCCCACCCCCACTCCAAATGCCAGTCACAAGTAGTGGGTCTCCAAGTTACCCACCACTTCTGTTCGAGTTTTACTACAAATTGGAGGTTCCCATGACACCCCCTTGAATTCAATCATTCTAGAACAGCTCACAGACTCAGGGAAACCCTTACTTCCATTTACAAGTTGGTTTTATACTAAAGGACATGATAATACAGATGAATGACTAGATGCAGAGATACACAGGGAGATGTCTAGGAAGGTCATGAGCTCACGAGCTTCTGTCCCGGTGGAATTGAGGTACCTCATCCTCCTGGTGTGTGGATACATTCATCAACCTGGAAGCTCTTCCAACCCAATACTTTCAGGATTTTTGGAGGCCTCATCACATAGCCGTGTTCAGTTACTAATTCCAGCTCTAGCCCTTCCCTCTCTGGAGAATGGGGTGGGTCTGGAAACTCCAGGTTTTCTAATCATAGCTTGGTCTTTCTGGTGATCAGCCCCCAGGCAAGAGCTTATCAAAAATCAAGGGGACATCTGTAAGACTTTCAACAATAAAGATACAGTTTTTAAGAATCACCTCAATAGTGCAATGGAGGAAGCAGAGCCTGGAAAGTAGAAGTAGAAGCAGAGCTGCGGAAAGATCTGGAAACAGCATGTACACACCCATGCCCCAGAGCCGGTCTCCATTCTGGACATCAGTGCAGGACCCCGCCTGTTTGTTCGTCGGGCTGGTGGAGAAGATGAAGCCAGTGCCATTTTCTTCCTGGGGGCCTCCTACCTAGTGCTGTTCAAAGGCACGGAAGAGTTCGCCCACCTGTACCTGTGGCCAGGCCAGCGGTCCTCCCGGGATGCGCAGGGAGCCTGCGCTGTGCACACTGTGCTCCTTGTCACCCAGCTCAGGGAGCGGCCTGTGCAGCACCGAGAGGTGCAGGGCAATGAGTCTGACCTCCTCATGAGCTATTTCCCAAGGGGCCTCAAGTACCAGGAAGATGGAGTGGAGTCAGCATTTCACAGGATCTCCGCAGAGGCCACCCCAGCTGCCATCAGGAAACTCTACCAGGCGAAGGGGAAGAAGCATATCCCCGCCACTGAGCTGGGACAGCTTCAACACCGGGGGCAGCTTCATCCTGGACCTGGGCTGGGACATCTTCGCCTGGTTGGCAGAAAAGCCAACATCCTGGAGCGCAACAAGGCTCGGGACCTGGCCTTGGCCGTCAGGGCCAGTGAGCAGCAGGGCAAGGCCCAGGTGGAGAGCTTCACTGATGGGGAGGAGCCTGCCGAGATGACCCAGGGCCTGGGCCCCAGGCCTCACCCCTGGCCAGACTAAAGCCCACGCTGCGGCTCTGTAGAAGGTCTCTGACGCCACAGGACAGACGAACCTGACCCAGGCAGCTGACTCCAGCGCCTTTGCCATGAGTTGCTGATACATGATGACTGCTTTGTGCTGGACAACGGGCTCTGTGGCAAGATCTACATCTGGAAGGGGCAGAAAGCTAATGAGAAGGAGCGGCAGGCTGCCCTCCAAGTGGCCGAGGACTTTGTCTCTGGCGTACGGTCCCCGCCAAACACTCAAGTGGAGATTCTGCCCCAGGGCCATGAGAGTCTCATCTGCTAGTGATTCTTCAAGAACTGGAAGTGCGAGGGCCATCTCGCTGCGCCCACTGCCTGCCTTCCTGCCTGCTCTTCCTCCTGCTGCCTGGCCAGTGCCCAGAGGCTCCTGCAGATGTTCAATAAAGGAGACAAGTGCTTTAAAAAATCACCTCCTTAGAACAAAAGACACTTCTACTACCCAGGAAATTTCAAGGATTTCAGGAGCTCTCTGACAGGAACTGGGGCAGAGACCAATATAGATATTTTTCTATTAATTCACACTGTCCCCGCAGAGTGTTTGAAAAAGCACAGAATTGGAGTCAAAGGGCCTGGCTTTGACGTCTAGCTCCAACACTTATAAACTCTGTAAACATGGCAATGTTTCTTAACCTATATCATGCTCAATTGTTAAAAAGAAGTAACAATTTTAGACTACCAGGTTTTTATAAATATGCTATTATAGACATGTGTTTTGAATATTGCACTAATACAACAGCAATTATTATTTCCTGGATATTCAAAACTTTCCCTGGGATCAGGTGTTATATGGTAATACAGGGTAAAGAGAGATACTCAGGGAAATGTAATGCATTCTCTTGGTTCATGGTTAATATCTTCTTGCTCTTAGGCAGTGGTTCTCAACCTGTGGGTCGAGACCCCTTTGGCGGTCAAACTACCCTTTCACAGGGGTCGCCTAAGACCATCCTGCATATCAGATATTTACATTACAATTCATAACAGTAGCAACATTACAGTTATGAAGTAGCAACAAAAATAATTTTATGGTTGGATCACAACATGAGGAACTGTATTTAAAGGGCCAGAAGGTTGAGAACCACTGCTCTAAAGGAAGGCATATAAACCAAGTTACTAATAATATAAGACAGCATGAAACAACTCCCAAACAATCGATATTCCAAGTTGCTTCATTGCAAATGCTGAATAATTTCATTATAATAGGCTCATGGGATGTTGAATCAGAGGCAATACTTCAGTTAAGATTTTGGTATGAAGCAGATAGAGATTTGAAATCTGAGCTACTCCTTATTAGGTGTATAGACTCAATTCAGTCCCTTCACTAGGAAGATTGGAATCCTATATAATAAAAGTCTAATATGCAAATAGACCGAACAGCGGAACAACTGGAACAATGAGAAACTGGTTGCTATGATGTGCGCTGACCTCCAGGGGGCGTGTGCAGAACATGGCGGGCATCAGCTGCAGCGGGATGGTGGAGCAGGTGAGTGGGGGTGTCAGACCAAGGTGGGGTGCCAGTCTCTGTCATCGGGGTGAGCCTCTGGTGGTTACTGAAAATTCTTTGTTCCCGCGCCTGCTGCCAGCACCAGCACCGCTTGCACCCACTGCCAATGCCCGGCACCAGTCCCAATCGCTTGGCACCATCAGCGGGTGTGAGTGGCGGCTGCCATCTCTGATCTCCCCTGAGGGCTTCTCCACCTATCCCTGCTCCTGAGGGGCTATCGGGGCAGAGCTGCTGCTCCCACCCACTGATGGCGCCAGCCCTGCTTACATCCACTACTGGTGCCAGCCCCAATCGCTCCGCGCCTTCAGCGGGTGCGAGCAGGGCCAGTGCCGTCAGTGTGTGGGAGCAGCAGTGGGAATGGGGCTGCAGGCAGACAGGGACCAGAGGCCAGGCAGGGGCACGGAGGATGAGCCAAGACCTGCCCCTGTGCCTACGGCAGTCTCACAGCCCACGGTTCCTTTCAAAGTGCCCAAATTTGTGCACTGGGCCCTTAGTAATAACAATAATATCATCCTATAATGGTTTTTACAAGAATTAAACAAAATAATGTATATTATATACATGTACTACAATGTTTGTTACATAGTTTTTCTTGAGTGCTGACTCTTCTTAAAGTTAAAAATACCTTAAAAGTACCTAATTAAACCCTCTTACATTGGAAATGAGAAAACTGAGTCCTTCAAATTCTCAGTTTTATTTCTTAGAAAGAAAAACAATTGTGACTATGATTCATGGGGCAGAGTAAGATCATTTTAAGAGGATTTGAACTTGCCAAAGGAAATGAGTATGAGGAAATTATTGCTGTGCAATGAGATAAAGCTAAGAAAAACCAAATATTTTCCTCATAATAAACCAACAAGCTGAATCATCTGCCTCACAGGTTGGGGGGATTTCAACACTGTGCGTTCAGCAAGCAATTTGGTGGGTGCAAGCCTCTTGCCCACTCCCAGTGACATGCACATTCTGGTGCAGAGGTTGCAATACCCTTGGGTGTTGCCTGTCCGCTCTGAGCAGCCACCCATGGGAAACTGCTGGCTCAAAGTTTCTGTCCTCTGCCAGGCATGGTGAGAAGGGGAGCCAGCAGCTCCTGGGCCTAGCGTGCACTTGCACCCCTAGATTGCCAGGAAGGTGCCCCAGGGAGAGTCTGAACTTGCCTCACAACTATCCCTAAGCTCAATGGAGTGTGACATTAAATAGTAAATTAAAAAACTTTAGGGTACTATGCTAAGTGAAGTAAATCAGACAGAAAAAAGCAAAGACCATCTGA